TGGCAACACACATGCCTCTAAATCACAGTCTGATGTAAAAGACCTGACCCCCAAAGGCAGGGCTGCTGGTGACCATCAATTTGGACTGGCCAGTATTGATAAATTAAATACTTACTGCCAGATGATGACACCAATATTATGATGTTAATGTCCTGGCCTGGCCTGGTCTTATGGAGATCTGGTTGGAGGAAGCTGGGAGAATCCGTGTTTCTCAGCTCTGCCCATGTGGGTTCTCTGTGCAGGCCAGGCCTGAGGGTGCAGGTGGGGAGGTGGAATTGCCATAGTCCATTGTGATTCTATTCTAGTCCCCTCACCAGGTGTCCTGGCCCACAGTTTTTGGGTTCAAGAGTGTATACCTGAAATATGGTACCCAGGACAGAATAGGGACTCTGTTGGAGTACCACCCACCCCAATGCTCAATAGTCTCCATACCTCAGCTGGCTCAATTGGTACTGGAGGTTATGCTGGAGTCCTCAATGCCAGTGGTTCCCAAATGAGACCCACAATTGTTCTTGGACTGCAATTCCCAGAAGCATTCACCACTTGCTGTGCTGGCCAAGATTTCTGGAAGTTACAGTTCAAGAACATCTGGGAACCCAAGTTTGAGAACCACTGCTCTAAATTAGTAGTATTGGGGGACTTCAATGTCCACATTGAGGCCACCTCATTAGGAGCGGCTCAGGATGTCTTTCCTCTATTCATTCATTCATTCATTCATTCATTCATTCATTCATTCATTCATTCATTCATCTGTCGCAACTGTGATTGGTACTTGGCCCCACGCATGCCACAGGATCTAGTCTTCGATCTAGTTTTCTGTGCTGGGCAGAATGATAGTGATCTGGGTGTGGAGGAACTCTGTAGCTCCACTGTCACTGTCACTTCCTGGTGAGGTTTAGACTTACTGGAACTCTTAACCTCTGCAGGACTGGAGAACCAATTAGGATGGTCCACCACAGAAAACTGATGGACCCATCTGGTTTCCTGAATGCTCTTGGGGAGTTTCCAGTTGTCTCAGCAGGCAAATCAAAGCCCTGGCTGACCTCTGGAATGGGGAAATGGCCAGGGCTACGGACACAATTGCTCCAAAGCATCCCCTGCCATGAAGAAGAGCCAAATGAGCCTTCTGGTTTATTAGGGAGCAGGTAATGATGGAACAAGTGGGACAGAGACTAGAGTGACGAGGGTGGAAAACTGAGAGTAAATCCAACTCAACATGAGCTAAAGCTCATTTGAAGGCTTATTTTATGGCAATAGCTGCAGTGAAGAAAGGATTCTTTTCTGCTGCCAGTGCGTATGCACAGAGTCATCCAGCAGAGTTGTTTCAACTGGTCAGGGGCTTAATACATGCACCATCAAAAGAACAAGATGTTGACCACACAGCGACTCATTGTGAGGAATTCTCACAATGCTTTACAAACAAACTGAAACTTTAGACAAGACAGAGGTGCTCCTGGTCAGTCAAGGCTGATGAGGGAACAGGGATGCAACCTGTGCTGGATGGGGTTACACTTCCCCTGAAAACCCAGGTTCACAGCGGGTTGGGTGTGTTGCTGGATTCATCCCTCCGCTTGGATGTTCAGTGGCAGACAGGACTGCACTTGCACAGCTGAAACTGGTATGCCAGCTGTGCCTGTTCCTTGAGTCGTCTGATTTGGCTGCAGTGACACATGCCTTAGTTCCGTCCTGCTTGGAATACTGCCACCTGCTCTATGTGGGGCTGTCTTTGAAGAGAGCTCAGAAACTTCAGCTGGTTCAAAATGTATCAGCCAAGCTACTGACTGGGGTCAGTTATAAGGAATATATAATGCTCCTGCTACAACAACTGCACTGGCTACCAGTCCATTTCTGGGCCGAGTTCAAAGTGCCTTATATGGCTTGGGTCCAGGCTATCTGAAGGACTGTACCTCCCCATACGAGCCTTCTTGGCTCTTAAAATCATCAGACTCTTCTCTCAATCCCATCACCAGCGCAGGGGCATCTGAGAGAGGGCCTTCACTGTGGCTACTCCCAGGATATGGGATGCTCTCCCTCAGGAGATCAGGCTGGTCCCCTCCCTGTTATCCTTCTCGCTGACAACTGAAGACCCACCTCTTTAGGCAGATTGTAAACAATTTTAAGAATCATAACTGAGTCCTTAATGCCATTTTTGTTAAGTTTGCTTTTAAAGTTTAAAATGTTTTTAATAATAATTTAATAATGTATTTTAATCAGTACTATAGTTTGTTTTAATGTATAATTTACTATATTTTAATTCTGTTCTTTTTAATATTATGAGCTACATTGAGTCCTCATTATTGGAAGAAAAGCAGACTACAAATGAGATAAATAAATAATAAAATAAATGCCCAGATTAAAAAGCTAGTTTATGTAACAATACACATTTCTGGACCCACAAATAATTGGCCATTGTCTCCTAATGAACCAACATGGCTATCAAATGCTGAGTTCCTCTGGGAAGCCTTATAAAACACTCAGAATGATACTACGTAACAAGTTATGCAACAATCTTTGTTCACACTAGCCTTGCTGTTAACTAGATGAATAAATTGAAAAATATAAAGCAAAGCCCCATTTTCCATAAAGTACGACTCTTTTCATTGAATAAGCACTATGTAGCACCATCTTTTTCTTCTGCAAACTTTTTGTTGTGATGCAATTACTCAAAATCTATTCTAACATTGCCTTGAAGCCCTACCTACATGTGACGTGAGTTAAGAAAAGAGTACAGTACCTGTTAAAGTATGAGAGCATCCAGAACTCCTGCAGTTCTTGCTTTAAAAGTTGTGAACCTGTCACTTCGGATTACCTGAGCTGTTTTGCTCTAAGGTTCAATATATGTAAGTGATGTGCACAAAGCATTTACTTGGGCCATCAGCCACGCAAACACAAAACACAAATAGGCCAACATCCATACTAAGTGCATTTAAATATGATAGAGCATGTACGTAATGTTTACATGAGTAAATGCTTCAATTGTGGTTTACATAAAGTGTAAATCAGGCTTTAATTCTTCTCAGCATTTCCAGGTTATGGAAGCTTGCTGCCTCTCAGGGAAGAGTTGTGAAACTTTCAGCTCTGTGCTTATTTTGGCTAGTAGGTTGTTAGTATTAAACTGTTTCAGCAATTTAACCAATTACTTTTTGGCCGATACAGCAAGGAATTGGCACAACACTCAGCCAATTAAAAGAGATCAGCTTCTTTAAAGGAGGTTCTTGAAACCCATTTGCCTATAGTAATTAAAAGCCATAAAGGACATGGTGGTGCTGCGGGTTAAACCACAGAAGCCTCTGTGCTGCAAGGTCAGAAGACCTGCAGTCGTAAGATTGAATCCATGTGACGGAGTGAGCGCCCATCACTTGTCCCAGCTCCCACCAACCTAGCAGTTCAAAAGCATACAAAATGCGAGTAGATAAATAGGTACCAACTCGGTGGGAAGGTAACGGAATTCCGTGTCTAGTCGTGCTGGCCACATGACCACGGAAGATTGTCTATGGACAAATGCTAGCTCCATGGGTTGGAAATGGAGATGATCACCGCACCCTAGAGTCGGACACAACTGGACAAATTGTCAAGGGGAACCTTTACCTTAATTAAAAGCCAATTCAAATGTGAAAGAAAACATTATTCGTCCCTTTTTCTATGTAATCCTGCTTCCCTGTATGTATATAAAGGAATCAGAAAGGCAGTAAAAAGCCAGTTACCACTTCTGATATTATATTTGCTTCCAACAAATTAGTTTTCACCCCTCCTAATAAGCTGAGTGAAATTATTGTTAAGCAAAGCTATGTTTAAAGATATGGTACAAAGATGTCATACAAAGCAGAGGTTCAGACACAACACGACACAAGAGCTTGGCTTTCTGGTATGGGAATGAACCTGCAAGCTCCCACTTTTCATTGTTGCAAGGAGACTGGAAGCATCCATGACCACTTTTAAACAGATTACCAATGATGGTCCTGGTACCATATCTCCAGGTAGAGGGCTGGGTTCCCAAAGAAAGGTCCCAAGCAAAGTTTCCTGTTTCTCTCCTCCTCCACCCTGATACAGCCATGAGTGGTTTGTGGGCTGGTCCTGGTCTCGCAGCAAAACAACCAAGCCATGTGTTGGAAGTGTAGGCTTAGAGGAGGGCTTTTTACTAACCAAGCTGCTACTATGCTTGGGCAATGGCCAACAGCTGTTGTTCCAAACTGGGACTGTTCCCTTCTTCTTTCTGCTTTCCAGAAACAAGACAAGAGATTAAATGGGCAGCAATGAGCAGTGCTTTGTTACTACTGCCTCACTTTGCTATGTCAGCTGTAGTTATAGTTATGGTCTATAGCAGTGGTCCCCAACCTTGGGCCCCCAGATGTTCTTGGACTTCAACTCCTAGAAATCCTGGCCAGCAAAGGTGGTGGTAAAGACTTCTGGGAGTTGTAGTCCAAGAACATCTGGAAGCCCAAGGTTGGGGCCCACTAGTCTATAGAACATCCATTCTCAATGGGGCCATATGCCCCCCCGGGGGCCCCTGGCCCATTTGAAGAGGGCCACAGACTGGAAACAATTATTCACACACCACCTTAAAAGGTTATGTTACAATCCCATTCAGCCTACAATTTATTTCATACTGTGTTTATGGCTGTGGCCAAAAAAAGACTGAGAATGGCTGGTCTAAAAGAACCATGTCTGACATCTATATTTGTCACCTCAGTTCCACTTTTTCCCTTTCCATCTCTCCCACTTGCTCAACATGACCTCAGCCTCTTTCATGTCTATCTCGTTATAAGTCCACTGCTCCTTCTTAGAGATGGACAGCATTCCCTTTTCAAGGATTCCCTCAGTGGGCCTCAAGACTACAATCAGGCCCATCAAAGTCGCACAGCTTGCTGACAAAGGGCACACTGTTGCTGATCCAAAAACACATTAAATGTCCATTTCAATGGGACAGGAAGCGTCTAGTCCCATCTGGAATGTGCTGTCATCCCTTAGCTTGCCATCACAAATAGCAAATGGAGATTTACCTTCAAAGTTGGATAGCCAGTGATTCCAAAGTCTGAACATATTTTCTGATTGAACTTCTCAGCACAGTCTAGCACACCGAGCATCACGGCAGGCCTCCAATCTAGAGGAAAGGAAGACAGGAGTGATAAAGACAGCAGGCATCAGTGTCTCACCATTATATTAAAACATACAATTGAGTGCACATAAAATGTCGTGAAAGAAAACAATACAAATGGAGGAGCAGGTGATACCTTTAATCGACCATTAAGAATATAAAACAAAAACAAATACTGAGCTTTCGATGATGAATAATCTTCTTCAAGGCTGTGGGTAAAAGAAAACGATACTATGCTGCTGTTTCCTTCACAGCTCAAAAACACAGAAGGAACACAGCAGTTTTTAAAACAAAGAAAAAAATGGCTACAATCTACAGTGCGACTGTTAGCTTTTGACAGAAGCTGCCTGAGCTTCCCCAATGTCCCTGAAATGTCCCTCAATACTCACATCATGATGCTCTTAGACAACTTATTCCCATGTCTGTGTATTTCCATGTTATTATATTCCACAATATTTGTATCAACAAACTGGGGTTGAGTGCACCTTGTGACCCATTAAGTATCCAGGAAGGGGTAGAAAAGGTTATAAAGAGGTCCACTTCCACTCAGCAAGTAGCAAATCCTGCAGATCAGAGGAAACTCCCAGGCTCCACCCTCACAGCCATCTCAAGAGCCAACACACCCAGCTATTCCACCCTTGTTTTGGTACCAGCCGCCATAAGAAGTCATTAAACAAGCACATCATAGACATTGGTAACATACAATACTGAGGCACCCCCTGATGTCCTTTCCATAGGAAAAATATGCCTGCCCACTAACATGTTTATTCAAATGGTCACAAAAACTATGATACTTAAAAGGAGAAAATCTGCAGAGATTCAAATCAAATCCTAGCTGTGCCACAGATTCCTTGGGATCACTATGGTCATGTCCAGGCCAATCCATTCATGCATGTACCAAGATTTTGAAATTACACTCTGAAGATCCCCAAATTCGACAATCACAAATTGTGCAATGTGAGCAACTCTGGATAAATTGCATACTTTATGCCATTTCTGAAACTGTGCATGTTGGGAAAGATCATTACACAGTTTAGGATTTTATGTTAAACTGTGTATATGAAGGATTGAGACTCAGTGGAAACTGTGTACACTCGTTCTGTCTATATGGAAAAAAGAGACAAAGAAATGCAAGGCAGAGGAAAGAATCTAAAGGGTTAGCTGAAACCCACACTCCTTCCTCCTGGAACCTCCACCCCAATCTTTCCTCTACTTCTGTTATCCTGACATGATATTCCATGGTGAAATTCAAAAAAGCAACTGGCTTATCAAAGGCAGATAGGCAACTGTATTGCCTAGCCAAAGCTATCGAAGTCTAATATAAAACTCTACTTGCAAATCTAATGTCTACAACACCATAATAAGGACCAATCAAACTGTCACAAAAGCAGATATGAACTTCTGTGTTTGAAAACACTTCATCAAGCCAGTTGGCAACAAAAAGATAGGAAGAGGCAAAAACAAATAAGCAAAAATATGTAAATATCAGACCATATGTTTGCCTGTGAGGCCTGCATTTTAGCAAGTTTCAGGGTGGAAATGGGCACTGAATGAATTAATTGTTGCTAGGTGAACAATATGTGGCCTGCCAAGGCATTTTTCACAACACATAAAGACACACACACCAGTAGTCCGCACCGCATTTTTCCATCTTTGGCGGATTGCCCGGCTGCGACCCTATCTTGACATGGGGGCGCTCACTACCTTGGTGCATGCGCTCGTAATCTCAAGATTAGATCACTGTAACACACTCTACGTGGGGCTGCCTTTGAGGCTGACACGGAAACTTCAGGTGGTGCAGAATGCAGCGGCCAGACTCCTTACAGGAGTGAGAAAATATCAACACATCTCTCCAATGCTGGCCGCATTGCATTGGCTGCCCATCTGTTTCCGTGTCAACTTCAAAGTTTTAATGCTTACTTATAAGGCCCTAAACGGTTTAGGACCTCGATATTTGGCGGAACGCCTCCTCCCACCAAGGTCTACCCGGATCACCCGCGGGAGTCAGGAGGTGAGGCTGAGGAGCCTGACGCCGAGAGAGGCCCGGAAGGAGAAGACACGAAACCGGGCCTTCTCGGCGGTGGCTCCTCGCCT